CTCTGAAACTGTTCAAGTCTTTAACGAAAATATGGTATATGGAATGTATGAATGCATGGAACTTTATCGTTTAGGACTTCCTTGCGTTCACTAACGTTTGAAATGGTTCTATAACCCGATCCAATTACTGGAACCATCGGAAACAACTCTCTATCATTACCTTTCTTCGTCTTACCCCATCAGTCCTAATAACAGGAAAAGTGGTGGATCCTGGCAAAAGCAACCAGTTCAGCAATCACCGTTACACCCAATAACCTTGGAAACCGTGGCACGTGTAATAAGACAGCAAGAGAAGGCTTGCTTAACGCTAATCCTAGGATACTTCACCGAAATTCGAAAGAAAACTTACCTGAACTCGCCCAACAGAGAGCAATTAGCAAGTGCCAATTACAGTACAACTTGGCACACGTGTAAAATGTCGAAAAATATTAGGTCTACCGGAAAGTTCTGTCCGATAGTGTCACTTCAAGTTTCAATCCACATGCACATGTTGATTTGAGACATATATGACTATCTCTCTTTATCATTGCATTTACACACATGTACTCTCCTAAATAAACTGAAACAAAGATGTCTCATGTCATTATTCAGTGAGACGCGATCGTGAAAACATGGCTACCGATGATAATGCCAGACCACATGCTGCTTTGGCGACTCGTCAGAAAATCGCAGAGCTAGGCTGGGAAATTCTGTCACAACCACCATATTCCCCGGACCTAGCACCCTTCGACTATCACTTGTTTCTCTCTTTGCAAAACTTTTTACAGGAAAAAAAACTCAAAACTGAAGCTGATGTCAACCAAGCACTAGTTGAGTTCTTCGCCTCTAAAAATAAATCATTTTTTAAAAATGGCATTTACAAGTTGCCATCACGCTGGCAAGAAGTCATAAGTAACGATGGAAAGTATATTCTACAATAAATATTATTAAATGTATGAAAATTGTGTTATATTTCAATTCAAANGTGATCGCAATTAGGATTGTTACTACGAAAATGTAATACTGGGACTCTACTGATATTTACGATGTTATTGATGTTTTCTACCAGACTTTGATTCTAAGATGCTTTCACAGACATTCAAAAGCTTATAGATCTCTGAAACTGTTCAAGTCTTTAACGAAAATATGGTATATGGAATGTATGAATGCATGGAACTTTATCGTTTAGGACTTCCTTGCGTTCACTAACGTTTGAAATGGTTCTATAACCCGATCCAATTACTGGAACCATCGGAAACAACTCTCTATCATTACCTTTCTTCGTCTTACCCCATCAGTCCTAATAACAGGAAAAGTGGTGGATCCTGGCAAAAGCAACCAGTTCAGCAATCACCGTTACACCCAATAACCTTGGAAACCGTGGCACGTGTAATAAGACAGCAAGAGAAGGCTTGCTTAACGCTAATCCTAGGATACTTCACCGAAATTCGAAAGAAAACTTACCTGAACTCGCCCAACAGAGAGCAATTAGCAAGTGCCAATTACAGTACAACTTGGCACACGTGTAAAATGTCGAAAAATATTAGGTCTACCGGAAAGTTCTGTCCGATAGTGTCACTTCAAGTTTCAATCCACATGCACATGTTGATTTGAGACATATATGACTATCTCTCTTTATCATTGCATTTACACACATGTACTCTCCTAAATAAACTGAAACAAAGATGTCTCATGTCATTATTCAGTGAGACGCGATCGTGAAAACATGGCTACCGATGATAATGCCAGACCACATGCTGCTTTGGCGACTCGTCAGAAAATCGCAGAGCTAGGCTGGGAAATTCTGTCACAACCACCATATTCCCCGGACCTAGCACCCTTCGACTATCACTTGTTTCTCTCTTTGCAAAACTTTTTACAGGAAAAAAAACTCAAAACTGAAGCTGATGTCAACCAAGCACTAGTTGAGTTCTTCGCCTCTAAAAATAAATCATTTTTTAAAAATGGCATTTACAAGTTGCCATCACGCTGGCAAGAAGTCATAAGTAACGATGGAAAGTATATTCTACAATAAATATTATTAAATGTATGAAAATTGTGTTATATTTCAATTCAAAAACGGACAGAACTTTCTGGTAGACCTAATATTTAATATATTCTTTCTATGGTTGACAGTTTTCGTTAGACTGTAGATTGTTATGCAAAAAACAATTTTGCTTTAATTCTAAAATGGTCTGCATCAATTGCGAAACGTTCTGCATCAGTTTCAAATTGTTCTGCATCAATTCCAAATAGTTCTGCATCGATTGCTCAGAACAGATGCCAAATAGAAATTTCTTTCTCGTGTCAATCATTTCAATACATCATTTTAATCAGTTTAGCACAAATATAATACATGCATTTAATGTTTCCATTACCTCGAATTGCATCTTCTCGCGTTTCTCATAAAAAGGACAGCCTGAGATAGAGATCTCAGAAGAATGTCGTTATATATATATTATCCTGCATTTCATTTATAATCACCTAATACATGAACCAGTGTACCATAAATTATGGTTGTCACACTTCTGTGACGCTGATAACGAACGTGTTCACCCTCTAGAATGCTGTGCAACTTAGAAGTCACACATTTATTACTTACACTTTTACCACCACTTTTCCCTAACTATTCACATTTATTATTTACACTTTTACGATTCTTCGTAACTATGCACATTTGTTACTTGCACTTTTACCCCGCCAACTTGTTCTTAATTGTAATATAATTGTGATTCTGCAGTTTTTCCAGACCTAGTTATCGTATATATTGCTCAAAACACTTTTATACTCAGGTTAGAGATGTATAGTAAAAATAAAATTGTAAATTTTATATTCATTTAGAGATTTAAAACAAACGGCAATATTAAGTCTGTATTTAACACGTTGACCGCATTTATCTAGTTTTGAAAATCAAGTTTTACTAGGAATCTATTAAATCTGGGAATAACATTTCACAACTAATAATCTCAGCGAATCACCTCGAAGACACTTTACCCTCTGTGGTCCACAGTGGTTCCTTTCATTCAATTCACAATTTATTATAACATCCGCAAATATATGATTTATATTCGTATATAAATCTTAATCACAATTTTAATGAAAAAGATAAATTAATCGATATATATATAACTTGTTGGACTAAAAATATGTATAGAGGAATATAACCAATAAATTTAATTTAAAAATTAATATTACTAATGTTAGAAAAGTAATTAAATTAGGATAAACAATTCGTTTAGATATATGAAATAAGTTTTCGTAATTGGATAAGCATCTTTCGTTTTTGTTTTTACATGTTAGAGGGATCAATTCAGTAGACAATGTTTAAAGCAGTTTTTACAAAAATCGAAAATGAAGTACAGTATCGAAGTACAGTAATGTCTCCCATAATGACGTAATTTTGGTGTGCCATGAATGACGCCGTGCTATTGCTACGACTACGACGTCCTTTAACGCGATTATTATTTATTAAATTAGCTTTGCGAATCGTTCGTTGAATTGTGTTCGGACACGGAATTATTTAAATTAAAATATCATTTACGAACTTTGTTAATCTTCACTGTACACCTTGCATATATCATATGGTACACATGAGGTGTCATGCACACCAGAAAATTCAAACGGCTGTCATACTTATTATTTCGGGTCCGAAAAATTAGTAAATATTCTTCAGACATTCTGAAATAAAGAATGAACAGCGTTTTTCTTAAAATTATCACTGCCACGTGGTAAAAAAAAATATCGAAAGTTCATGCTCCGTGATTTGTTCATTGATTTGAACGCGGCACAGAGTCCCCCTTCAGCTGACAAACTCAGTGGTAGGAGCACATGGCACTCGATCGATTGACCACGTTGTGTTTCGCGCCATTGTGTGTCATTGGTCGGTGTTTTTCATTAATAACTCGTCAACAAAGCCGCAGATTGCATTTTCGCAAAGGAAAAAGTTACTTAGAATGATTTCAGCTACGCCACATTTCCGTAATGCGAGACATTTTTGGGACATGATTTTTGTTGTGGTGTATCATCCTTGGAGTCATGTAGTATCGTGGACTACGGTGATGTTTTTTTCTCTACTTCTTATAACAAATAATGTAAAAATTAAATTGATTTATGAATAATTCATATTCAAATTAAATGCAAATTTTTACCATTGTGTGAATATGCACTCACTTATTCCATTTTCCTTGTTCTTCCTTTTCCTTATTTAATTCACCTCTTGCCCTACAACATCGTGTCGGGTTCGAGATGGACATTCTGAACAGATTCTAATAAATATGCACGTTATCTAGTTCGCTCAAACCGAAATAATATTCTATTTTGTTATTGTTAATGTACAGCCATTGGAGAACATGTAATTCTTCTAGCGAATTATAAACTACAAGGAAATTCTAATCGCTTCAACCGTAAAAGAAATCGTAGTGCAAGAGGTTAATAATTTGTATAATTTCAATTGTATCTATTAGAAATTTTATTCGTCCTTCAATATTATCAAGTTGACGATGTTAACAAGGTTACTCGACGTAGGGCTGGGTCTAGTCTCCGACCGCTACCCCCGTTTTGCTCGTTCAGCCCCACGCCAACGTCCTTGGAGGGGTGAGTCCCTTGTCTTCCCTTGACCAATTAGGTTTGACTTAGGGTAGGTTCAGGTAGTTTCATATTCGGTAGGTTAGCCGGTCGCCGATTCCTCATTTCGATTCATTTTCGGTGTCAACGCCTTACGGAGTGGTCGATCCATCCGAAGTCTCTCAGTATCTCACAGTGTTTTGCAGTCTCTTGCAGTCTCTTGCAAACTTGCAGACTCTTGAAGTGTTTTGCAGTCTCTCGCAGACTCTCGCAGACACTCGCAGACTCTCGCAGACTCTCGCAGATTCTCGCAGATTCTCGCAGTCTCTCGCAGACTCTCGCAGACTCTCGCAGACTCTCGCAGATTCTCGCAGTCTTGAAGTGTTTTGCAGTCTCTCGCAGACTTTCGCAGACTCAAAGACTCTCGCAGATTCTCGCAGTCTTGAAGTGTTTTGCAGCCTCTCGTAGTGTCTCGCAGTCTCGCAGTGTCTTTGGAAACCAACACTACGCCGGCGTCGATAAATCGTCATCCACTTGGTTCAGTTGGTTGTCGACGTGTAATTGCTTCGATCGAGCCGAAACATGCAAGTGAGTGATTTACTTTTCCCCCGGTACAACACCTTCGAATCGGCCGTTCTAGCCCGCTGATCGGGCTGAACTTTATTTACGGGCATAGCGGACCATCGGCCTGGAAATGATTCCGAGAAACTCGAGCTCACCGGCGACCATTGCATAAGTGCAACAGATCGGATCTGTTCGAAACGGCCTGCTCTCGACTTCCTACGCCCGGTTTTCCTCTGATAAATTTCCGATGTCGTCGTCTTGTTCCATTTCGTCTGATCTATGCTAAGAGATCCCTTATCGAGCCATCGTGGACTCGATTCGTTTTCCGTTGCTTTTTCACCTGTCCGGCGGAGACAGACGAGTCAACTTGTTGTAGTAGTGTTCGTCGAAAAATTTCACGTTATCGGGACGGCTAAATACACGATGTAGATCGTGTGCGCGATACCGAGTGATTTCGAGTTTTTTATTGCGCACTTCACGCGTTTCGCTACTGCCATTTCTTTCAACGACACTCCTCGCAGGTTTCACACCAAGTTTGCGCAGCATTAAAAGTCGCAATTTTATTTTACTTGATGAAAATAACTTAAATATATCTGCGCAAATTATTGCACACACACAGACAATAGTCGTAAATTACTGTCATATATAAATACGCAACAAATCCGCATCAAAGCTATAATTGCAGAAACTTTTCGCGGTAATCTCCGAAATTATTTGTTTCTTAAAATACTCCATGCTATATATATATATATATATAAATAAAGTGAAATCTAATATAGTTATCTCCAAAAAGTATCGTCACTAATAATTGGACTGCTGATATTTTATGTACTAAAAATAAATTATAGGAAATTTTTTCTTAAATATAAAACAAACTATCATGAATTTCATTGGTTTTTTTATTTAATTGTCAAGTATCATCTATGACAATTATGTGTGAAAGATGATATCCGTCAAATGATCACCACGATCACGTTTACAGACATCAAATTTTTTAACCAAGATTCGAATTGTTTCCTCAAATGGACGATTTATGTGTACCGAAAAAATCGCGTAATTTACGAGGGGTATTTTTTTTAAATAAATAAATTTCAGTAACTTTAACACGCTCTTCAATTGTATACGACTCCATCGTTAAAATTCTCTACCATTATAGGTTAAGAAAAAAAGAAAGTGACGAGAAACAAACATAACCCTGTATTTATGGCAAAAAATGAGTAGCTGAAATATGAAATTATGAACAGATAAGAAGAATTTAAAAATATAGTTGCAGTATTTTGGACTTACCGAAATTATCAAATGGAACAATTTATTTTTATTTGATTTCTTTATCTTACGATCGTCTCGGATAATTGTTATTTTGCATAAAGATCCACAGTATAGTAATTATCAAAGCTGTCGCTGCGAAGCTAAACACGTAGATAAGAAAAGTAATTGTAACTTAAAAAATTTCTTCACTCGTTTTCTTTTTCTCGGAATTGCACGTTTGATTTTTCTTCAGTTGCGTTTAAGGTTTTTTCTTTAATACGATGTTACTGGATTGCAAATTGCATGCATTTAGAACGGAAGTATGTCGGTTGAAGTTTAAACAGTTGAAAATTTGGAAGAGTTTAAAAGCAATAATTATACCGGGGATCTTTATGCAAAATCAAAACCGTCTGCTTCTATTGCAAGAAACAGGAGTTATTTGGATATCTCATTCTTTCTTAAATAACTTTAACATTTCTGAAATGATATATTGACATACTTCAGTTATTTAAATTGTGCTATCGTTTCAAATTTCACCTGCTTATTTTTGCCACAAATAAACTGTGTATTTTATGCATGCGTGGCAAAAACGGGTGGGTTGAACAAAAACCAGCGAGAAGATTAAAAAATACTACGAAATGATTAAAGGAGGACAGAAAATTATACTTTGCTCATTTGTCTGGCAATCGGTAGAGAAAATTATTGTTTTGCGTAAAGACCCGCAGTCTAGTCATAAATATATAAAATTCGTAATTTATTTGAAACAAAAACTTGTAGCTAATATTTTGAACACAGTCCAAAGATGAAAAGAGTTTAATTTTAACATATTAAAATGATTAACGGTAAAACGGAATACCTATTCAGCTTTTATATCTTATGCGCAAAATTTTCCATACAAATCTAGTCCGCATATAATTTTTTATTTAAAATATAAAACAAAATGGTGAAGCATCGTCACAGAATCCTTTATGTAACTGCATCTGAGAAACGCATAAGGTTAAAACAGTGACTGTTTTAACCATTTTTTTTACGTTGCAAAAGCACTTATCATTTCGTACTCCTGTTGTTTACTTTAACATACTCGTGATACTTGAAAAATGTAACAAAGATAAATCAGGAAAACTGATTCTTAGGTCTGGCGTCACGTGTTACGACATTTAAGTAACAATGTGAAGAAAAGCAATTTGACTCTGTTAACACAATGCTCGAAGTATCGAGATTGTCACGAATACGTGAGGTTGGTAGCGAACGTGTTAATTATTCTCACGCGGATGTTAATAGCCGAACAATCATCCGGTTAACTGATGTGTCGCGAACGAGAATGTTCCAATGTTATGCGGAAAAAGTGAGTGCCAATTTGCATGATTTGCGGGGACCGTATCGAATCTCTTCGTCCGAGCATTCTCCATCAAAATACCATATACGAATTATGAAAACACCGTTGCAAGATTGATAAGCTAATTGAGATGGTTGGAATAGTTACATATTAACAGCTGTAATTTGTATGCTGTTTATCGATCGATCCATCTCCTTATTTTCTTTGCCAAGAATTCGCCGCTTTATATAATTGGTGAAAATATTATTTCACAGACGATAAATTATTAGAAAGTGATTTTAACGCAATTGGAATGATTTTATTAATTCTATGAGCGTTGGCACGTATTGAGATAGCTGGCAGAAGAATGTTACACCGTGAAGAATCTCGTTCTACAACTAAAACTGCTTAATTGAAACAATATGCAGTCAACTCGCAGTAATATTCGGCCACGCACCTTTCAAAACAGAATAACTTTCTTCGAATTAAACGAAATGACTCGAATTCTTTTCAGACGATTTAAGGATTAACCCACTAGACAGTGGCCAAAAAATTGTTTGTCAACGAGTGCAATTCGTTGGGATGATAGAAGAATTGAAAAATGATGTTTTTACGACTTTTTTATCTGAGTCTAACATCTGAAAAAAATAGTTGTCATTTCGTCCACTTCTGAAAAAGTTGTTCTGTTTTAAAAGGTGTTCAGATATTAATAAGAGTCACTGTACTTATCGATATACAAATCTACAATATTATGGTATAATTTACACCATTGTTAATCGGGTGAAAGTCTTATTGTTTTTATGAAATATCACCGGAATAGAAAGTTCGATAAACTTTTATCGAATCGAAATAATTAGACACACATAAAATTCAGTACACTAAACAGTCAACGCTTCAACTATTATATGTTCCTAAATCGATTAGGGATCTGCAGGATGTACGAATGTTATGAAAGTAATGCTTAGCTTTTCAATCAAATGAAAATGATTTAATTGATGGTCAAAATGTTAAAGCTGTTATAATTGCACAATATAGAAATTCCGATTGGTTTTGTTATCCAAGAATGTTAAGAGTCACATTCACACGGTTTGGGAACTTTTCGCCTACAATGTACAGTAATTTCTCCCTAATTCGCGCTCAGGGAAGGGGAGACGCGATTATTCGAGCCTTGCGGCTCGTTTTTACAGTTACCAGTTCCCAACAACTATAAAAACGAGACGCAAGGCTCGAATAATCGTATCTCCTCTTCCGAAATTGACGATTTTTGTGCGCAATCCGAGCGCGAATTAGAGAGAAATTACTGTACGTAGGTAATTGCTAGATGCAAATTCTCATTTTCATACGTCATTTTACAGAAATTGGAATTACAGAAACATTTATTTCGTCAACTCGAAGATCATTCGTTCGACGACGAAAATAAAAACGCTATGTCAGTTCTTGTTAATTTATACGTACTTTTACGTACTCGTGCATTTTGAAAAATCTGCAATCGCCATAAACGCATAAAGATCTCCGCAGTCCAGTAATTGCCATCGTATCGATTCTCACGTAACTGTAAACTGTCAGCGTTCGTTGACGTCTACTGTTTTGTTCCTGGCAAGGATGCAAAGATCCGCGGCGAGCTTCGCGCGTATTCGCACTTTCATCTTGACATTAAGCATTTCGCTTGAAGGTTATTGCTCAATTTGTGGAATCGGGGACAAGACGATCCTGTGCTAGCGTTTACTCGGAGTGAGTACATTTCCTTCTCAGTGATTGACTTTTCCGCAAGATGACTTCAACTAATGATGGAGTACAATGGGCTCGGTTAATTCGACGTTCCTCTCTCTCTCTCTCTCTCGTGTTATTCGGAGAAATTGTTGAAAGTAGAATCTCTCAAGGGACTTCTGCGCCTGTTTGCAATTAAATATCATTGCAGTCTTTTTGGTTTACATAATGTAGGAGATTATGTGTAAAATATGTAGGAAGTTCCAATTCGGTTCAGAACTCCAAATATTTGTCTTTTAACTTAAAAGATTTCGTGTTTCTTTATGTAATATATTTGTAATGCTTGTATAATGTTTTTTTGCAATATAAATATAATATAATATTTTATTTTGCAATATAATTATAATATAATGTTTTAATGCATTTATAATGTTTATATAAAACATATATTTACGTGAAACATTTATAATAATTAGTGTGTCACTCTGACAAATCTTATAGAAACTTTATTGATCATAAAAGATGGAATTAGATTCTACAACATTCCATTATTTTTTTAATATTTTTGATAATTTTTTAAATATTTTGATATTTAACAGTTCGAAGTAAACTAGAATGTTTCACATCTTCGTTAAATATCAAAAAATTCCATTTTTTGAAAGGAATATCAATTTTTATCAATTTTATTATGTTTATTTCGAACGTTACGTGGACGTCTCGTATATAATCCGATTTGAAAATGTACAAAGAAAAG